CAATGGGGGAAGTTTGCCCATGCAGCGAATTCCAACAGTCACGGGTGGTTCTTTTACTTGCACGCCAATTTGTACGTCGCGTTCCCGGTCCTAGAACACTGACGAGGGGGGACCGAGCTGGAAAATCCCCAGAAACATCCTCGACCAACATCAGTATCGAACCCGATACCTCTTGGTTAGTGAATATAGCGCCACACACAATGAGCTACCGTGGCCCCCTTGTCGTTTAGAACCATTGGTACTAATTTCACTCTAGCCATTGCATTATGAACAATAAATCGACGTCCTACATGTATTCATGTACAAAACGGAGAATGCATGTAACGCATCATTTGATAGTTGCAATTCAAAGAAGTCTGGATGGAAACACCTCCCACACAGACACCCAAAGCGCATCATGGTATAAATTATTAATACATGTACACCAACTTTATTTCAGTCTCATGTTGAGTATACAAGCAATTTAATTCAATTTTATTTCGCGGTATTCTCAAGATAAAATGAAAATACCATCGAGAAGTCAATTGGGGGATATTTTACTATATAACTGTATGAAAAATACATGTAACTGTAAAAGACAATCTCAATGAACATTAGAATGAAATATTAATGTCTGGCATATGAAGCAGTACCATTTTCATATTGAATTTTTCAGAACTTCAAAGCAAACATTCAGTAATCATTTAAAATGAAATGAAACGAGGTTTAACGTCCCACTGTTCCTCTCCGACTGGGTTAATAAAAACGTGTTTACGGCCAGGGGATCTTTTACGTGCACGCCAGTGTGTAAACAGGACCTCGGTTTTTGTCACATCCGAACGAGTATACTTTGTCCCTTGCCAGGCCCTGGCAAGAGGGAACCACGTGGAAAATCTCGGCCAAATCAGGGATCGGACATGTGACCTCCAGGTTAGCGAGCAAACGTCTTAATCACTGAGCCACCGTGATCCCCTACTCATTTAAAACACCCTTTCATGAGTTATAACAGTACTAAACACTACGTGATCTACCAGAAACTGTAGCTATAGGATTAACAAGTGTCTTACGCGAGGTGGGGTATTCTTAGTCTTTCTCGGCCCCACGGGATATAAACTCTCAGGAATTATTTAAGGGTACTTTTGTTGTATGTTTACGAAATTGTATTTAAGCAATTAGGAAACTGGCATGGATTGCGACCAATTGCTTTCACAATGACAGGTCCGACTCAGTATTATATTCAATCTGGACTATAATCAGTCTAGACTATAATGGGTGTAGACTATCATACACAATCTACATGTAGATAGACATAAGGAATGGTAGACTATCATATTGAATCTAGACTTTAATGAGTGGCAGACTGTCATCTTAAATCTAGCCTTAGTGAGTGCTAGACTATCATATTCATTCTAGACTTTAATGAGTGTTAGACTACTATATTCAGTCTAGACTTTAATCAGTGTAGACTATCATAATCAGTCTAGATAATCAGTGTAGACTATAATATTCAGCCTAGACTGTAATGAGTGGTAGACTATCATATTCAATCCAGACTTTAATGAGTGGTATATTATCTTAGTCAATCTTAACTTTAATGACCGGTAAACTATCATATTCAATCTAGACATTAATGACCTTTGACTGCCATATTCAATCTAGACGAAATGAGTGGTAGACTGCCATATTCATTCTGGACTTTAATGAGCGGTAGACTATCATATTTAATATACACGTATATGCGTGGCAGACTGTCATATTTAATCTATACTTTAATGAGTTGCAGACTATATATTACCATATTCAGTCTAGACTTTAATTAGTAATAGACTATCATATTCAACTAAGACATTAATTGGCACGATATCATATTCAATCGTAAGAATCAACAACCATCTGCCGAGTTCACAGACTCACAAATCAAGGATTGAAATTCCGCCAGAAACCACCGAGTAGGTTTTATTGCATAAGTTATATCGATATTCTTTCTAATTTAATAAAGTATATACAAATAAGTTAATATTCTGTCTGACGACTCATTCCATTAACAACTTAATGTTTCTTGTTTTATTGTCAGAATCATAATCATTGCCATTAAAATGTAATCTAAGAAAGTTCTACTTGACATGGAGTATCAAACAAAGAAATATATTCAATTATTTATTTGAGACTCTATTCCCTAAATAACGCTCGGATAAAACTGAATCATCTCTAAAGGTCCCGCGTTTCTCTCAAAGAATGCCGGCAAAAAATGTTTCGATACAAGTTAGTTATTATGTATATTCAATCATAACGACATAAATATATTAATATGTATTCTATTGGGAATGGTTTTCTTTTAAAATACTGCTCCAAAGGAGTGCAATTCGCATCTTTTCACATATACAGGCAATCTAAAATTCTGGAAAACCATTGAACTAAAAACATCAAAGCTTTATATATATTTTTTTGATTGACATTTATTGAATCACAGCGACTTGATTAAATTTAAACTTTCTGTCTATCGATCTTGGTTGAATTAGAGTACGTCCTTGTCTATATAACACACGGGGAAAAGTTTTGTTTATGCACCCAAGTGCTTCAAGAATGTGTAAAGGAACTAGAACTCTGATAAACGCATTACAGTTAACCCAGACCTTGTTTAATATATATATTTTAACGGAACACTTGCTTGCAAAGACTGCGTCTTATATTGAATGCGAAAGGGTTTCATGTCTGCGCAGAGAGAGAGAGAGAGAGAGAGAGAGAGGGGGGGGGGGAGAGACATGGGGTTTAAAGTCCACGCGACACAAACTAGGTCATTTCGGGACTAACATATGGTTTAATTTTATTTCAATAATTCGCTGGCGCGTAGGGATCTTTAGCAGTGGGAGGAAACCGGAGGACCCGGAGAAAACCCACGAGGTTGGACAGGCGATCCTACTCCTTGTCACGTACAACGTACAAATTGGTGTGCACGTAAAAGATCCATTGACAGTTGGAATTCGATATAAGAGTTGGCCGTAGTGCTGCTATCCGGTCAAAAATTTCCCACACTGTATGGGAGTATGTCCGTCTTCATTATCCAAATCGGAGCAGAACAGTGGGATGTTAAACCCCATTTCATTTCATTTCACACTTAGTCAATTACGATGGTACACTCGTTTATATTTCGCCACAACTGAAATTTTATTCTATTTCCGTAGGAAGACACAATACAATACATGTACTAATTCAAATTAAACACAGCGTCAATATAATCCATAAACTATATATATATACTTTTAAGAGAAGATACTACTACGAATTATCGTCATGCTTCACATATGATGCTCTATTGATTCCAGGAAAGCGATTCCACGGGCGCCATTCGGTCTCACCTTGTGTCTATCTATAGTTTTCTATAATCCAGGTAGCTTAGTTTAATTATTCTTAGTCAAAGAGAATCAGAGTCTGGCTTTTTCACCTTTAATAATAATCAATAAGAGTAGAGTTGCGGTCTATGTTGAGTTAATCCTAGTTATTAATAATAAAGCATGTTTACTCTTTTATATTGCTTACTGTATTATTCTATATATTATACATACACTAGATGTATCCCTGACAAATAACATGGACGAATGCTATGTCCAGTAGCATGAATAGCTGTCACTAACGACAATCCAATATAGCATACGGTTCTGACTTTCCCTAGTTCATAAGATGTTGTTCGAGCGAATGACTTCGCCTGCATGTTGCAAGTGAGTGAAATAGAGATAAATGGGGTTTAACGTCCAATCAACACAAACTATGTTATTTCGGGACTAATATAGTGCTGGGAAACCAGATGACTCGGAGAAACACCGAGAGGTTAGGAAGGCAACCTTACTCCTTGTCACTGTTAGTGTGTGATCGAAACTACGCCAAGTAACTTAATGACAGGACTTATGATCTAAAGCGCACGCCTGCATGTTGCAAGTGAGTGCAAGAGAGAAATATGGTTTAACGTCCACTCAACACAAACTATTTTATTTCGAGACTAACATAGTGGGAGGAAATTCGGACACGACCCCACCTCACCCCCTAATAGATATAGTAATATGGAAAGTTCGCAAATTGCGTGTTTATAGGCAATGTTTTGGAGTGACTGGAAAAATTACACTGGCTTTCACGGTACGCAAGTAGGAACACGACACAGATGTTAGGTGTTAACTAAAATTGATTCCAGTAAAATATAAAATGGGAATATAAAGTAAACGAAAAAAAACGAATTAAAAACAACTTCCTGTTTTAATCAAATTGAGAAAATTAAAAACGAATTTAAAAAACATCCGATTTTAATCAAATTGATTCCAGTAAAATATAAAATAGGAATAGCCCAAAAGAAAACGAAAAACGAATTAAAAAATATCTGGATTTAATCAGATTAAGTGTAAAAGTATTTGAACTTTATCAGGGGAACGTACCAATCAAGCAGTAGTGTCAGGGGATTTGAAAAGAGTACCCTGCTCGCGCTCGATACCCACCACCTCCACTATGAGACTCATGTCAGTTGACAGTCCAATCTATCTGAGAAGTACCAATCAATCACAAGTCACGTGGTTCTCAATGGTTATTAACAGCACTGTTGTGTGCTTGAACAGATTCTGGATCATACCATACCAAAGCATAACAATTAGTGTTATCTATGTCAGTTTTCCACAAAAGTGAAAAATGCCTTGTGTACGACACCTATCACGATATATTTTGACCAACAGAGAGAGATAAGTCCCAGAGAAAACCCACGTGGTTAGGCAGGGTATCGAGCTTGGGGTCGAAACCACGTCACTTGAGTCAATGACAGATCGTATGATTTAAAGCGTTGGAGTTACACCACACGACATCCCTATCCCCGTGACCATCATTAGAATCACCACCCAAGTTGATGAACTAGCGAAGTGCCACATTAAGTGCTAGCTACCTAAAGACCCTAAACTAATAAGAAGTGTTATCATAGTGATCCAGTTATTTTCATTGTATCATTTGTCTATTATTATTATTATTTTGTAAAAGTATAGGATCCTTACCTGTTAATTAAATACAATATTCCAGCAACTGCCGCTAACACAACAGACAAACAAACCAATACTATCACAATTTTACAGTTCGTTGTACAAGTTTCAACTATAATCTTTTCCTCAGGGGGGTGGGGAACTATATTAAATCCGCCATGATCTATACCACATTTTTCTGCCATAAATAACTTGACACTGTCCCCGACCTGCGACGACATGCACGTAGTGTTCACTTTAAATAATAAGTCACTATTCCAAGGAGGGGGACACGGGAATCCCTCCCAAAACGCCTTAAAGATGGGGTCGAGATGCTCCGCCATTATGAAGTGAAGGAAGGTGAAGTAGCCGTCAGTAACCATTAAATCTTCATTTATAGATCACAACCTGGAAAAAGTAAAAAAAAATATCAGTATTAATTACGGGTGATAATTAAAGGTGTGATTCAATAATAATTCACAGTTTGGAAAAATATCCATAGCAACGAAAAATACATAATGCGTAAGGAATGCCAATAGTGGAGAGGACAGCGCAGGAGCTTCAGGAGTACCACATGACAAGCTCCAGATAGGAATCGCGTCCATGACGTTTCCTCCGATCACCGACAATGGTAGTGATTATTTATGTTAATAAATACATCCTGGAGGGTTGTGGGGGCACATATAAGTGGACTGTCGCGAAGAGCTACAGGTATATGATCCAGGTGCGTTCAAGAAAAGAACCTACATTATGATGTATGCTCCAATCACCAAATTTCCAACTACAGTGCTGGCGATCTGCTGTAACTACATGAACTGTCCAAGAGATACAATACACCACCATGATGTGTATCAGACAATCTGCTTGAGGTATATTCTCAAATCGCCATGCTAAGTATATAGTACACACTAAATAAACAATTAATGATCAAAATAAGTTCAATTTTAAAAAACAAAGAAATAAACTACATAGACTGCTCAAGAGTTTCAAATGCATATCACAATAGTGTGTATTCTGGAATCACAATACTAAGTAGAACACACAAATTAAACAAATTTGGTTGAACTGCAATTGTGATCAAAGTAAGCTCATTTTTAAAAAACAAAGAAGCAAATTCTACATTTACCCTACTTCAGCAAAGCAGTTCCAGGAACTAGCCCGCTGTCTTATCCGTTCGGAATTATATCTGACATGTGATTAATCGTGTAAAGGCAATTAATATATTGGTTGAAACATTTCAATAAAAACACACATTGACACGACATATTTTATATTCCAGTTAAAATCGAATAGAAACAAATGTAAATTGTATAATGTAATTGAATGAAGCGTGTCAATCAATGACTATTGTGCATAGCTTTACTTGAATAGAATTGTTCTTCTAAATCAATACACATTTATGCTAAACATACGGGATACACAATGGATAAAAACAACAAGTTATAAATATATTATGTACATACATTAAACACTACGCAATTCTATGAAAAGCAATGTTCTGTGCTTTATATTTTAATTGAATTATTAGCAATGTTGAATTTATAAATTAAGTTGTAAACAGGCAATTACATGCATAGAAACCCTTATGATCGCTGATTAATCTGTGCACACACACACACACACACACACACACAGGGAGAGAGAGAGAGAGAGAGTTTAACGTTCTATCAACACAAAATAGGCCATTTCGGGACTAACATATGGTATATCTTTACTTCAATAATTCAAATTTCCCGATTGTGGTCTTTAGCAGTGTGAAGTATCCGGAGAAAACCCACGTGGTTAGGCAATCAAACATACTTCTTTGTTACGTACGAATCAGGGATCGAAACAGCAATGTAGACAACTCTGTGACCCCCCCCCCCCCCCGCCCCACACCACCACCACCAACAACAAAAACAACATTAAACATGGCACAAAACCATACAGTACTTTAAATGTAAAGTTAGTAAATGGACTTGTGAATATTTAGAATAACATCCCCTGAGAAAATTGCACTCCCGATTCCTGGCAATATTTTAGAACAAAAAGGTTTATATTGTCTTATGTATTAACAGTTATTTTCATGCCAGTGACCGGTCTGTCTATAGAAAGCTTAATGCATCTGCATCATATAGTCAAAATTATATAAATACCCTAGTGCCCGAATGTCGCCGACGCTTGCTACAGAACAATCTAAACAGACGCTTTATCTGTCGGTATATCAGTTTTGCTAATCCCTGCCATTTTAAACACGATTTCATTAAACACAAATTGCTATTAATTGAAGAACTTTTCTATTATATGATGTATCGGTTCTTGACTATACAATCAATATAAAAGATAACTTCTATTCACCGTGCCATCGCTTATTATTCTCGCTGTATTAATGTTTGTCTACGATCTATAGTGGTTTTAATATACTTAACCAATGTTACAGCTCTCAACAAACAGAACCCTTGACTTATAAGTCATCGGTGCACAATTTGCGAATTTTTCCTGTATGTTATATCTTTTGAGGATTCTTTTTAGAAAGCCGCAAAAAATATAACGCATACCTTCAACAATAATCGTCCAGTTAAAATGGGTTTCTTGTCATTCATTATAAGGTATCACGTTTCTTAAGATTATTCATCATATAATAACCTAATGGCAAAATGAATTTTTCCTGTATGTTATATCTTTTGAGGATTCTTTTTAGAAAGCCGCAAAAAATATAACGCATACCTTCAACAATAATCGTACAGTTAAATGGGTTTCTTGTCATTCATTATAAGGTATCACGTTTCTTAAGATTATTCATCATATAATAACCTAATGGCAAAATGAACGGATGTAACAATATGTGAGAGAAAGAGAGAGAAATGGGGTTTAAGGTCCACTCGACACAAACTAGGTCATTTCGGGACTAACGTATGGTTTAATTTTATTTCAATAATTCGCGAGAAAACCCACGAGAATGGACAGTCGACCCTACTCCTTCTTACGTACAACTGGGGAATCGAAACCACGCCAGTTGACTCAATGACAGACTTTATGATAGAGCGCGCACACGCTAACCATTCAGCCCCCCCCCCCTCCGTAACAATATGTAGGATTGCATTAAATAAGATCAGAACCCAAATGCAGAATACAATGTGACCATTGGAGCTTAGAGTTATGGTGTATATTACTATTTTGATAAATAGCAAGAAAGCTAAGAATTTTTGACGATTTCAGAAAAGAGAAGACACCAAATATAACGAAGACGGAAGATTCGCAAATGTCTTAAAAGCTTACAATGTTGACTATCGATATGAAAATCAGAAAGCAATAATCCGGAGAACCAATCTTTGATTACCATAGACAATGAGCACCAAGGGAAGAGGACAGGGTTTGCTCAGAACACAAATTAACAGAGACATACCTTTTGTAATCTTGAATTGATACATCCTATATGTTTTAGCCAGGTGAAAAAAACATATACAAAATATCCAACTAAACATTATCAATAACAAACATCATTCCTACGAGGCAGTGATTGAAATAGTTCCACTCGATCATCAGTAGAGTAAATAAATACTATACGCGCAACCAGTCGTAGATCAAATCCCAGTTCACAATGCCACACTTGTGATTCACACGATACGGAAGTCTAGTCTGCACAGATTGAGCTAGTATTCAATGACGCTTCAGGTTGAAGCCGATTGTCACTTGTCATAACATTGACATGATGACTGTGATAGTGACAGTATGTAACATGTGACATTAACTATAATTGATAATACTATCGCTATATAATCAGTGTTAAGTTACATCACAGTGTGCCCATAGCCCAGTCTTATCTGTACTCCTCGACTATATCAAGGGATTGGGAATTCGAAACCATATTTATGGCGGTTTGATGATTAGAAAGATACATGCGACTTTCTAGATAATACACGAGTATTGTTATTCTGATGCAGCTTGAATATCCGTGCATGTCGGTTTTGTTTATGCTATAGTGTATTGCTACATGTAATATCACAATGGATAATATAAGGTTTCATACACTTTGAAGGGTTTCAGATTCTGTCCCAGGTTGACTAAGAATGTGGTTTGGACATGGGGATCCAGTTAACCCACATCTATTGTGTTCATTGTTTTCATATAAAACCTATTCGCATCAGCAATGAATTGATTTATTATCTTGCTTCATTGAAACCTTCAACCAGAGGGGTTTCCAATAAAAAAACAAAAAAACTTTTCTATATTATTATATAATCAATCTTTGATTTAGTGTTGCATTTCTTATAGTTATTTAAGTTTTTTTTTTATACCTAGGTCATTTTATATTTCTTTATAGTATTTTATGTATGCCTACCTTTTTAAATACAGAAATTTAAAAGCCAGGGTAATTTGTGTTTTCTTTAAAAAAAACACAATAAATGGGGTAGCGGGCCAAATCAGATATAAAGCGCGACACGAACACTACATGTATATGTTACCATGATGGGAGAATGTCATGTGATGATGAGTTTGGTTTAGACATTCAGACGTTATTTCAAATATAATTTACTTCCTCTTGACTATATATTATAATACAGTCATTGTCTCGTCAAAACTGCGCAGGGTAATTTTACATGTCTGTTTATAATATAGCGAATGATAAATGTATCCGGACACCAGCGTGCCTACTCACACTTAGGGTTTCAACTGCTAAAAAGACACTGCTAATGGTTACAGGTTTTTTATTCACCCACGACTAAACATATCTTTGACAGTCCCTGAGGTGTTACTTCTGGCAAGTATTGGTCGAGGTGCGTCGGAAACATATTAGTGACGGCACAAATTTAATGACAGTGACGTAATTGACAGATAACACACCGGTCCTATAATTATCACCTACAACACCTTTGAGTCAGATTTTTATCACCAAATTATCACCACCGCTAATTGTGTAGGTAATTAATCTTTGTTGACATGTAATTACTTACTAATAGCGATATACCTGTACTTGTCCATTTTTGTGGCGCTTTGTCTTCAATATTCTCAGTATATTAAAAAGCGCATATTGGACATACGAGCTATTGAACATATTCCAAACACAAGTTTGCTTATAACTGATTTCGGCAAAGGGAAAGGGGAGGGGGTGTTTAACGCGTGCACTTTAGGTCATAAGGTTTGTCATTGAGTCATGTAGATTGTTTTCTATTCCAAGCTAGGTCGTGAAAAGGAGTAAGGTCGATGGCCCAACCATCGATACTCCCACTGCTAAAATTGCACATGTTATAAAAACGATGAACCAGAGAAAAAATGATTCAGCCTCTACTCAGTTCCTTTACATAAAACTAAAGTTATAATAATAGTCTTAAAGGGGAACCTGACAATTTGCCTGTCAAAGTACATCAGCGGACAATATTCTCAACTGATCAATTACTCGCTGGTTGATTTCGTTACAATCTGAGAGT